AAAATTTTTAAATATTCGAATACAAGTTTATATTTAGCAAAAAAAAAACTTCAGCAGTTAGTAAATTTTGAAGAAATGAAAGTAGAGATGTGTATAAATTCTTGTCAAGCTTTTACAGATGAATTTACTGATGATAAAAAATGTTCAATTTGTGATGAATTACGATATGATAGTAAAGAAAAACCAAGAAAATTTGCTATTTACTTTCCATTAACTCCATGACTACAAATTCAATATGCAGATCCAATTCGAGCAACTCAATTAAGATATCGTGCTAATTACAAACAAGACTGTGAAAAAATTAAAGATATTTTTGATAGCAAATTATATAAAGAAATGTTAGAAGAAGGGCTATTACCTGATAAGCGTGATATAGTATTCTCTGCATCATTAGATGGATATCAGATATTTGAACAGCAGCGAGATGATTGTTAGGTAATTTTAATGATTAATAATAATTTATCACCAGAACTTCGTGTAAAAAAAGAAAATCTTTTAGTAGTAGCAATTATACCAGGTCCAAAACAATCAAAAAATTTTAATACTTTTATGCGTCCTCTTATTAATGAACTAAAATAGTTAGAAGGTAAGATAAAAATATTTTAAATTTATTATTATTATATAATATTACTAATTAGTATAATTTTAAATCTAGAAGGTATTTTATGTTGGGATGCAGTAACAAATGAAAATTTTACCCTACGTGCTCATATTATTTTTTGGTGTAGCGATATTCCAGCTATTTCAAAATTAATGTATATAACAGGGCATAATTCATATATGGGTTGTAGGTTTTGTAATATAAGAGAAGTTATAAGTGGAGAACCTGGTAAAAATCATATTTACTATCCACTTATACCACCTCCAGGCCGTAAATTGCCAATTTATAATTTAAATAATTTACCACTAAGAACACATGAATCTTATCCTAAAAAAATTGAAGAATATGAATGTCAAACATCTGATACAAGGCGAAAACGATGTGCTTCAGAAACAGGTAAATTTATTTAAATTATTTTAGAAAATATAAATTTTAAAATAAAATTAATAACTAATTAATATTGTATAGGAGTAAATGGCCGAAGTATTCTTTTTGAACTTAAGGCAATCAAGTTTCCTAGATCTTTCTCATTAGATATAATGCATCTTCTTTTTGAAGGAGTATCTTTTTGGATGTATAAACATTGGAATAGATCTTTTTTCTCAGATTCAGAATTAAATAATGCTGAAACTGAACTTCATATTATGACAAAATGAATTTGGGAAAAAATTGGAGAAATTATAGATAAAAATAAAAATAATAAAACAATGCCTTCTGAATTTGGCCATTTGCCAACTAATATTTATCAATATTCTAATAGTTTTAAGGCAGAAGAGTGGACTAATTGGATATGTTTATATTCATTACCTCTTTTAGTAAATTATTTAAAAAATCCAAGGTTAGAATTTATAATAATAAAATAAGTTTAAATTTAATTTTATTACTAATTATTATTATTGTTAATCAGATTATTAGATGGTTGGGCAGCATATGTTTCAGCATGTCATATATGTATTAAACATACAATTACTCAAGATGAACTAGATAATATTGGCAAATATTTTCAAGAATTTTAGAAAAGCTATGAACAGTAATTGAATTCTTAATTTTTTAATTAATTAATTTAATAAAGTACTTAAATAAAATTTTTTTTAATTCTAGAGATTATGCCAAAAAAGATATTTCACATTTGCCAGCATTCAAAATGGTATTTCATTATTTACTTCATGTTCAGGAGTCTATAAAAGATTGTGATCCCTATTGGACTTTTTGGCAGTATCTAATTGAACGTTTGTGTGGAATGCTACAACCCATGGTGTGCTCTCGCTTGTTTCCTTACAAAAATCTTGTTAACAATATAATAATTATGGAAAGATTTAATCATCTTAAGTATTTACCAAATATTCGTGATCAAATCTTTCCTCAAGAAGAAAAAAAACAATATAATGATGATCAAGTTTTTGTGTTAGATAATTGTGTAGAAGAACTGTGGCACCCAGCAACAAATTATCAAATTAAGGAAGGAAAAAGAAGTGATGAAAAGTGGGATCGTGAAATTACATATTTACATCAGTTTTATCAATCAAATAATCAATTTCAGACAGATAAAGTAAGTATTACTTGTAAGTTTTATAAAGTTAACTATAAAAACTTTCTAACATTTATTTATAGTTAAATAATTATGGTAGAAGATTTGCACGGCTTTGAACAAAAGATAGATATATGATTGGATCTGCATTAACACAAGTTAATAGCAAATCACGTAATAATTCATGTGTCAAGGTTTTAAATATTTTACAATATTTGCTACTTAACTTTTATATATATTAGATACTAATTTTAATGTATAATATTTAGTATGAATTAGAAATTCAAAATCATAACGGATCTTATGAATTGGATACATTTTATGGATATGTACTTTACTATTTGGTTCACGAATATGCTGAGACAAAACATATGTTAGCATATGTACATAATGCTCAACATGTAACTAATCAATTATATGGTTTAAAGACATTTACTGGATTTGGTGTAAAAGAGTTTATTTCTGTATCAACGATTAGAAAATGTGTAGGTTTTTTTCAGTTAAATAGTCTTTATTATATTATTGAAAAACCTGAAAAATTTGCTATAAATTAGTAAAAATAACTCATTTATAAGATAGCATTTCTTGTGCTTTTTGTAATATTTCTTTTAAAGATCTATGTAGAAATAATTACAGTTTAAATTCAAATATTAATATGCTTATATACTGTAAGTATATGCTACATATCATTTCTTATTTATAAGACTATTTTTTTAGATATAGCAAAAAACGAATTCGTTTTTTGTAATATCTAAAAGAAATATATCTGATTATTAAGTAATTTATATTTAAATTAATATCTCAATACTAGATTAAGTTTGATAGCATAGAAGTCTAAGTATAACTTTTAATAGAAATCAATTTTTTAGCAAAAATAATCACTTGAGCGTTGCCAAATAGCCTGCAATAATAACCTTATAAATAGCACTTAATTGAGATAATGGATACATAGAAATCGTATGTAATTCTAAACTAAGTTATTTTGGAATTACAATTTTACATGTTAATTATACAATCGCTATATCATTGATGATTATGAACTGATTAAAAATAAAAAAAAATTTAAAAAAAAATCGAATAGCATTTATTATAATGATTGTATTTAGAACGATTCTTTATTTTTCAGCAAATCATATAAGTATTAACTATTGTTTCAAAGGTTTAGGATGCAAGAAATAAAAATAATAATGAATTATATATTTTTAAGATCTAATAATATCAGTATAGATAACATATAAATTTTAAAATATATATTAATTTAAAATTAATATGAATTGATATCCATATATACATGATTTTACCTACCCCTTTCCGTGTTTTTACAGACTTCCTGGTTTTTACGTATTTATATCCCGATGTATAGAAATACTTAGTGAGATTCAAGATTTTATTTTACATGTTAGTTCCATACCTATTCCATGTGTGTCCGTATATTTCCGTATTTCACTACGTGTATTTGCATATTATTGCATGTGCCTTTTTCTTATAGGGTTAACAAAAAACTAGACTTACGTCGAGCTTGCTTATATACTTTTTACCCATGACCTCATACTTACCGAAATGTCATAGCGTCATTTAATCTCAACTAACAAACTACCACATAATCACATCACTGATCTGTGTAGTGATCTCGTGACAAATGGCTGCCCCGTGATTTCGTTCACGCATTTCATTTTTGATTTTAGTTTACTACATTCACAAAAAAAGAAAAAAAAATCAATTTATCTTAAAAATAGATTAAGCTCGTTAGATAATTCTCTTAACAATAAAAAAGTTCGTCAAATAACTTTCTATATAATAAGTTTGCTAAAAAAATTCATCAAATGTTTTATAAATTTTATGCAATTGCAAATTTACGAATGACTCAAATCAAAATGACACGTAACATACATTATATAAGATTTACTATATATCTTCTTATATTAAAAAAAAAAAAAATTTAAATGAATAAACAAATCTACATTGAAACGATTATTTAACCACTAAAGTTTGTTATAGTTGTTAGAATTAATTAAAAAATATATTAGATAAAGGGCAGAATTTACTGATGAAACTATTTTAAATAGCTCAAATAGCTAAGACTTTCTCAAACCGTATAAAAATGAAAAGAATAAACAGATGGTTTATAATTTCAAAAAAGTTATGTACAGTACTAATTATTTTGATTCAGTGTTATCCTTTATCAGAATTGAATCAAATAATCAATGGAATCGAATCAATAACACATTATTGGATAGCAAAAGATCCCGATGGTAAGTCAACAGAATTAATCAGCTGGTTCATTGGCAAAGGACACCCCTAATTAGTATGAATCAATTGAATTAAGAAGCATTTGAATGCTTAAATTGTTGACCTTAGAATACGTTTATTAACAAAATTCACTATAAACTTCTTGAAGACTGAATTACAACGAATGAGCTTAAAAAATCGAATTTGTGATTACGAGGAGAATGAAAAGGGAGTGTCAATTTCATGAAATAAATTAATAAAATTAAATAAAATTTATATTTATATTGTACGTAATATTAATTATACGTATTTAAATCATTAAGTGCATTCGACTTAAATTGAAAAACAATAATTTTTTTTTCAAGTAAAAATACATAACTGATTTCACTAAAATATATTCTTATTTCTTAACTTTGAAATCCTTAATAAAGTGAATTACGAGTATTAGGTATTTACGAATTTGAATTGCTGACTTTAGAAATTACTATTAGTAAATCCACTAATAATGTTATAGCAAATAGAGACTAAACCTTATACAATATAAAAAAATATTCAGAATGTTAAATTAACGAATCCAAAACGATATATATACAATTTCACTTGTAGACTACATTTAAAAAAATTTATAAATTAACAGAACTTGAAAGTAGTTAAATATAAACAACTTAATATTTTATAATTCACATGTTATAAACTATAATCTTTAATATTAAACCCATTCATTTCGCTATCTGTTAAATAATAAAATTAGTATTAAAGAATAAATTAATTATTAAATAATAAAAAGAAATACCTTGATAATATGTTGAGGTATAAGTAATAAATTTGCTTTTTGAAACATCAACGGAATAAGTTTGTAAAGGAGTGCTTTTAATATTTTGTAATATTTCATCAGATTTAGTTAATTCTAATAAAATATTTTCATCATTTTGCCATTCTGTGAGAATTTCGCTGATTTCTATTGCTGATGGACGGTTTACTGGTTCCTTTTCCCAACATTTCTTCATTAAACTTATATAACATTGTGGTGTGTTCCCAATAATTGTTGGTCTTAAGTCATTGTAGCATATTTCAAATTGAAGTTGTATGCCAAAATTTTGATTATAAGATACTGATTTTCCATATAAAATTTCCCACATAATTATTCTAAATGAATAAATATCTGATGCTGTTGTATATTGTCCTTCGTCCAAAATTTCTGGTGCTATATAAGGTAATATTCCATAAACTCCTCGTTTTTCTGCATCCATTTCTATATTTATTGAAAGTCCCAAGTCTGCAATATAAGCGCTATGTAAATTATCTTGTAAAATATTACCACTATGTAAATCTCGATGAATAAGTTTTTGTGAATGAATCATTTGAAGATCTGACGCAATACAATCCAATAATATTAGTTTATCTTTCCATTTCATTTGTGTTACTGCGTGAAGATTTTGACGCAATGATCCCATTTGCGCATACTCTAATACAATAATGTAATCTTCAGAGGAATCATCTTTTGATATCCCATGACATTTTAAAAATGTGGGATATTTAGAACAAATATCACAATACGCCTTTAGCTTTATTATTAAAACAAAATATTTAATATTTAAATATACAGTATAAAATATTAATAAAAAATAAAATTACCTCTTTTATGAACCCTTCGTTTTGAGATTTTGATCCATGAAGTAATTTAAGTGCGACATCTCCTGTATAACTTTTTTTTTTATCAAACCAACTTGCAGAAAATACTGTTGCAAATCCACCTTGTCCTATTCTTCTAATATTATTAAATTCTTTATATGAAATCCACGACAATAGATATTTTTCTTCAATTATTAATTTTTTTATTTCATCATCGTCAATATTAAAATTTTCATTTTTCCGTTTATCTAGGTATAAATAATATATATATTAATATTCAAAAGTAAATAAATAATGACTACTATTTTTAAATTACCCAACATATTATTGTTTTCCCTAATAATTGTCGAAAATTATATATTATAAAAGATAATAATCATAGAACTAAGGATGAATTTAAAATGATAGATTATTTACATCTTGCACCAATAATTAGCCTTTTGCAAATCTCGTGATGTTCCAATCCCATTTCGGTAACAAAAACCAACACTAGACATTCCATTATAATTACCCATCTCGGCAGATTTTTGATAATGAATGAATCCTTTATGTTCATCCTTTTCAACTCCTATCCCATTTTGATAACACAATCCAAGTTGATATATTGCACTCGCATTTCCCATCTCAGCAGATTTTTGATAATGAACGAATGCCTTATGTTCATCCTTTTCAACTCCTATTCTATGTTGATAACAATATCCAAGACTATTTATTGCACTCGCATTTCCCATCTCAGCAGATTTTTGATAATGAACGAATGCCTTATGTTCATCCTTTTCAACCCCTATTCCATGGAGATAACAATATCCAAGACTATTTATTGCACTCGCATTTCCCATCTCAGCAGATTTTTGATAATAAACGAATGCTTTATGTTCATCCTTTTCAACCCCTATTCCATGAAGATAACAATATCCAACTTCATACATTCCATCAGAATTACCCATATCAGCAGATTTTTGAGAATAAATGAACACCTTATGTTCATCTTTTTCAACACCTTTTCCATGAAAATAATTGTATCCAAGTTCAAATAGTTCATTATTCATTTTACTTTTGAATGTCAAAAAAAGACATGTGCGAATCTGCAAACTAGGCTTACTTAATTCTTTTTTTAGAGTTGGTATTACTCGTGCAACTGTGCTTTTAAATTATGACGGTAATGTCACGCGAACTCGGAAATAGGGGTCGGAACTGGTTTGTGCAATTCAACTTTAAATTCGGTCAAACCGATTTTAATAGTAAATCGTTTTGTAACGGTAATGTTGTAAAACCCGGTTTTCAAATTAAAATTCGGTTTTATTTTTTTGAAAATTGAAGCTAATCATCACTGATCAACAAATAAAAACAGTTTTTTTTTTAAAATATATATATCGATATTGATATAGATTGTATTCAACTTGACTAAATTCAATTTAAGCTCAATCTAATTTAGGCCGCTTGAATTTGAATTTTCGGTTAACATTACTTTTAGAACTCTTGGGAGAGGGGGAGGAGACGTTAACCGAAGAATCAAATTCGAATGGCCGAAGCTTAAATCGGTCTTTTCATTATATTATTACATTTATTTTAATTCGAAAATTTTTAAAGCCCTAAGCTTCAATAGTATCTGAAATACTTGATGTCTACTATGATGATTTAGTCAACTAGGTTGCAGCAAAAAAAGTTAAAAAGGCTACTAGGTTAGAGCTAAAGCAAATAAATATGAGGAATCTAAACATGATAAAAAAGCCTCTAATATAGAGCACTTTGGAAGAATAAACAACCCTGAATATTGCTCTCAAAAAAGAATAGAAATTGAAAAGAATAAATATAATATATTTATCAGTTATCAAAAATCAGCTAATAACAATTATGCCGATAAGTTTGAATAATTCTATAAAAATAAACTTGTAGTTAAAAAAGAAAAAAGCTTAAGAAAATTCTAAAGAAATAGTTTTAGTCAATAAATAAATATAATTAAAATATTGCAAAAATAAAAAATAAAATTGGTCTAGAAAAGAACAAAAGTAATATATTCACTTCTAATAAAAAAAATCAACAAATAAAAAAAATCCGAATTAGTCCATCCTGGTCCAAAGACTGATGATCTTTTAGAAGACTGCAGTCCAGGACTAAATAGGACTATTGGATGGACCGATTATTGGACTAATTAAGGATGTTCTCAGGCAACTCCCTCAATGTAATTTGCTAATTATCCGGTTGTTGCTCAATCGAATCGATTGTTGTAATAATTTCAAATTTCAGCCAATCAAAGTAACTATATGAAAAAAATTAATATCTTCAGCTTCAGGGTTTTTTGACCTATAATAATTGGCAAGCACGATCAATTTTTTCAGCTATCAAGTTATCCGGTAAACCTAATGAGGAAGGAGTTTGAGAATGGCCTACTAGTAGATATATTGTATAATTAATAATATCCAATATTAGGACCGATAGTCCTTACGATCCATCTTAAGAAGGACTGGACTGACCCGATCCTTGGATGGACCGAAGGACCAACGGTCTGAACCGGATTGATTAATAGCCCTAATCTGAATAGAATATATTGAATTAGCAATTATTATTGAAATAGATTAGATAAAAAAATGTCATACAATATAATGAACTATACTAGTATTTGTTGCAAAAAGAGAACTAGTGATAAAAAAAATAAAAGAAGATATCTAAATAATATACAAAATTTACTAGATTTGAAAATCCTAGTAAACAAAAGATTATAATCTATAAGGAGAAGGTGGTTTAGATACAAATAAAAAGAATAAAATAATTATTAGTATAAGATATAATAAACAAAAAACAAGAACAGATAAATAAAAAAGAATAAAAGATATATTTTTACAGTACTGTAGCCTTCTTAATAACAGTATTATAACAATAAAATGGCAACAGAAATTTAAACATATATGAAGTGGTATCTAAGAGAGAAGTATAATTCTTTAATCTGTAAGAAATTATATCTTTCTTTATAATAGTGTTTTATACCTATATATTCAATATTTCAAAAGCAAGCAATTAATCAGTCATAAGTAGCTTAAGTAAAAATTTTCTATATCCTTAAAAACTCTTCTCTAACTCTAAATCTAACCTTAAGTCTTAAACTCAAAAGTAAAAAAATTTTTACTTATAATACTTAAAAATCTAAAAAACATAAAACAAAATAGATGCATTTTATAATAAATGAATTTTTAAATCACTTATTTTAAAATAATTACATTACTTATTTTATTTGAAATCAGATTAAATTATTATTTATAAGGATTAGAACATAATAAAAAAGCTTCCAAGTATTATAAATAGTTTACTACTGAATATATAGGCTGCTATTAATTAGAGATAAGAATTGATTCTAAAAACTTAAATTAATAATCAAATCAGTTATAATTGATTTATAATTAATAATTGAATTCTATATATATGAGGTGAAGTCAATAAAAAAAGAACAAATTTTTTCTAAGTAAATATTTTCTCAAGTTTAGAATAAAATATTTTAACAACTACTAAAGCAAATTCTATAAAAATTTTTTTATT